AGTATAAACCTGGTTTGTAGCCATGCTCTCATTCTGTCTAAGAACCACATTTAAATAACTCAACACCTATTGGATGGATTGCATTGCATCTGATTCATTAGTCATCTCCTCTAGCCCCTTCATTAAGGACATGCTAATTAGCTGTGTTAGCATGCTGAACTCGAATGTTAAACACATTTTCAAGATTCAAAATTAAAGTTTCAAGGCTTTGTTGTCATTTGCACAGCAGCTACAGATTAGATCTGTCAATGAAGATCTTCTCCAACAGAGCAACATGAATATATTATAGCCTATATAGGAAATGGAACAAATACAACAGATACAATAGTGCAAGAGAATGTTTTGAGATGTGTAAAAATGTAAATACAAATAAAATAGAATATAAATAGTGCAAGAATTAGCTGTGTTAGCATGCTGAACTCGTATGTTAAACATTATAGGAGCTAACAGGAGCATGATAGCATTGTGAGCATGTTAGCATAAAGCTAATAGCCTCAGTCCAGCCTCTCAGAGAATGAGCACATGAACACACAGTGACCTTATTGAGTAACAGCCATAAAAGCCATTGATTACCTTTTACAACATGCTAACAGCTCCTAAGCTACGTGTACCCGTTGAAGACGAGCTGTACCTCGACTGAAGCTGCTTCTTATATCTTAAAAACAACATGCTTCACTCAGAGGAGGGGATCATGTGCTGTAGTTAAAGGACACACAGTAAGATGATGCTCCTGTGGCTGTCTGCCTTTTCTCTGGTGTCTCTGACCCCAGTGTGTGACGCAGTGTGTTCAGCTCAGGAGTTCAGCTGCTCTCAGGATCTGTGTGTGTCCGAGGGAAGTGTGTGTGACTTCACTGACGACTGTGGAGATTACAGCGATGAGGAAAACTGTGAGTAAATATGGATTTTGTCAGATTTTCACTGACTTTGAGACTTGATTACCTTTCAACAGGTGTCTTCTCCTACACCTATAACTTCACATATCCATATATATTCAGAGTGAACAATATGATAAACAAGTCAAGATTTATTTATAAATTGCATTATCATGTATAGCAAAAAACATTGTGGTTCTACTATATTTCAGAGGCAAAAAGCACCCTTTGTTCATATAAAAACATGATTTGCTGATATGGTGTAAAAGAGTACTGTAGTAGCCTACTATTAAAAACAGTATTTCAAGTATCTAAATGTAGTCAAACCATAATGCTAAAAGGCTCTTACATGTCAAAAAACATGATAATAGTTCAATCAGGAGAGACGTGATGTGTGAAATACATTTTTATTACCGGGACACGTCATATGAATGGATAGTGATTGACAGATTATAACAAGTGAATGGAATAGTGTTTGGCGATTAGGCCCCGGTTTGCAGCATTATCATTCAGGAGGGGAAGAACCGCTCCGAAGAAACCCCCGGGGTCTAGACACTGGTGGTGGTGATAAGTAGGTGGGACCGGTCTGAAGGGAGAAGCTTGGTCCTGTAAGAGACGGGAGGCGAAAGGGGTTGCGTATTGTCACCTGAAATGACAGTTGACAAGAGGGAAGAGCAGATATAAAGGGATTAGCGGGTGCAACGATAGGTTTGTGAGAATGGAGAGAGGAGTGATTGGTTAGCTGGGGAGTGAAGCCCCCGATCACTTAATGAGGGAGGAGAGGGTAGAGAAGTGACGTGTGATATGAATGAAGAGCTTGGTCTTCCTGCTTGAACTTACGCTAAACTTCATTAGTACTTTTACTTTTTATACCTAAAGTACATGTAGTACTTCTGTACTGTGTGTATATACTGAAATGCATTCATTACAACATGCGTCTGTGTGGATATTCAATGCGTTATATATCTTAAAATATGAAGTTATATACATTTAGTTATTTGCAGTGGTGGAAATGACCTAAATACATTTATTTAAGTCGATCTTTTTAGGTAAATCTATCTGTATTATTACTTTAACTTCAGTATAAGATCCTGGTTCTTCTTCTGTGTTGCATCATTGATAATCCTGCCTTGCATACCAACTCAAACAAATTCAATCTCATCCATAATTCTTCTCAGTCTTCTGTTGCATGTTTGGCAGTGAAGTCCAGGATTAACGCTTATAATGCTCTGATGAGATGATGTTACTTTATTGTGTGCAGAAACCACATCTCAAAGCGGCCATATTATGTTTGTTGGGGTGTTCTCTCTCCTGTAGTGTGTTTTAGTGCATGTAAATGGGCTGCAGAGGCTAAAATCCCTGCCCAATATGATGCTTTATTTACAGAATCTGTAATCTGGAGCATGTTATGAGGTTAGTTATTGTATAGGCAGGTGTTTTGCAGCGGACTGGAATATCAATTTGATCAGATATTGCATGGAAATGTAACACTACTGAAGCATGTTTTTTTCTGGTTGTAGGCTCTGGATATAAGAGGTGTGATTTTGAAGATGGATTCTGTGACTTGATGCAGAGCTCAGAGTCCAGATGGATCAGAACTACTGAGGCTCATGGACTCAAACAGGACCACACAAACACATCAGGTGGGACATTAGGGACACTATACATCTATTTTAAACTCAACACATGTACCTTATACTTCTGCATATCCTCAAATCCACGTCTCCCTCTCTTTCAGCTCACTTCCTGTCCCTTTCACCTGGAAACAGAACCTCTGCAGACCTGATCAGTCCTTTCCTCCTGCCCAGTGAAACCTGCCAGGTGAGAAACCCTCAAACAAAACCATCAACTATCAGAAGTTGGAAGTAATGGAGTACAAATACTCTGTAACTGTACTTAAATACATTGTTCTGGTATCAGTACTTTACTCCACGACGACTTTTTACTTTGACTCCTTACATATTGAACCCAAATACCTGTACTTTCTACTTCTTACATGTTGAACCCAAATACCTGTACTTTCTACTTCTTACATGTTGAACACAAATACCTGTACTTTCTACTTCTTACATGTTGAACACAAATACCT